TGTTGGGAGAGCGAGTAGAAAAAATGAAACAAGTCCTAGAGGAAAAGCTGGGAAAATGACTCTATAACTTGGGATTAGGGAAACTTTTATTAACCACAACCCAGGAGCAACGAGGGGAAAGTGGGATAAATATGGGAAAAATAATTGCAACTTATATCACAGACAAAGGGTCCAAAAGATACAAAGAAAAAGGCAAACCATCCTATATAAAAATGGGCAAGTGGCATGAACAAACGTTCACAGGAAAAGAATTGCAAATAGCTACTACACTTGATCTTACAGAGTGAGACTCCAACTCAAAAAAAAAAAGAGAAGAATTGTAAATAACTCGTTACCTACAGAAAGATTGCCACTGTCACTAATGATACAGCAATGCAAATTACACTTGCACTCTGATATCACTTCTCAGTTCTCCCTCTGGCAAACCTCTCTGGCAAAAGTTGCTGGCCGCGTGCTGGAGAAAGTAGCGCAACCATACCATGCTGGTGGCAGACAGAGGGGACAGCCCTGTGGGAAAAGCTGGCAGCATCTCACAGGATTACACGGGCATTCATCCTTTTGCCCAGCAGTCCCAACTCCGAAGCTATACTGGCAAAGACACAAAAAGAAACTGTGAGATGCATTAATTGCAGCACTATTTTGTAATGGCAAAGTTGGAATCCACCCAAATGTCTAGCAATAAGGAGCTGAGTAAGTCAGGATGCCTTTCACACAGTGAGGAACCATGCAGCCGTAGAAAGGCATACACACGTCTCCATAGACTACTGTAAAGTTCTTTCTAGAATATTTTGATTAATGAAAAAAGCAAGAGAAAATGTACAAAATGTACTGTTTATTCAAAAAAGGGATGAAAATGTATGTATATATAGATATATGTACACCCACGTATAATAAATATATACACATATTATATATCCTCAAGTTTTTAGAAATGAAAAGAATGGCCATAACATTAGAAGAATCATCCACAGGGAATAGGTGAAGGGATGGGACAGAACTCAGGCCTCTTGGAAAAAGGCGCTTTTAACAGACTTGACTCTGGAGCCCTGTGAATATTTTACATAGAAAACAAAATTAAACCTAGAGAGTATTTCTCATTATGGAAAATGAAGTGAGCCTAAGTGCAGCTGCAATTGATGCCATAACCATACTAAGAGGAGCTATTCCAGTTGTCTTTGAAACTAAGTAATTTAGGCCAGGCAGGGTGGCTCACGCCTATAATCCCAGCACTTTGGGAGGCTGAGGGGAGAGGATTGCCTGAGCCCACGGGTTCGAGACCAGCCTGGGCAACTTGGTGAGACCTCAT